GGGAGCGGCGGGCCCGTCCGGCCCCCCCCAGGGTCCTCTGTTCTTCCGCCCGCGGGCGAGGGGTTTTGCCTTCCCTTCCCCGCCGCGCGCTTGCCCCCGGTCTCGGTCGAGCGCAGTCCGGCGCCGCGCTCGCCTCCTGCTTCGGGCCGCTTCTGGCACCGGCGCCGCTCAGCGAACGCCTCTTTCTTGCCTTTCTCAGACGCCGCGCTCGGTGCCTGGGCGGGAGCCGCCAAGCAGCCCGTGGGCGCCCCCTCGCCGCCGCGCAGAGCCAAGCGCTGCTCCTGTTCTTCCCTGATGGATAAAGAGTGCGTCTACTTCTGCCACCTGGACATCATCTGGATTAACACTCCAGAGTAAGTACTGCCTCCGCTTTGGCACTAAGCCATTAATGTAGTTTTTATCGCTCTGCGATTGCGGTTTAATTAGTCTGGGATTCTTCTGTTAAGGCAAGCTCAGCACATCCCTCGTTTATCTGGCCAGGGCTATCTGCCCCCATCAGCCAGATCCAAAGGAGCACAAATGGGAACTCTAATTGCACTTCAGACTTAGGATAATCTGGGGATAGACCTGTTTGTTCAGGCAGGGTTGTTTGCTCCTAGCACTTCAAAGAAGCAAAAATGAAAACCTGGTATTTTCCAGATATGTTGGATTACAATTTCCATCATACTGATGGTGGTGAGGGGTGTTGTAGTTCCATAAAGTGGAGGGAACCAGGTTAGGGCAGGCTGGTCTAAAGATTACTGTGTGAGTGTAACAGAAGTGCACATCAGGAAGCTGTTTTCTGGAACAATTCTGTTGGATCGGCATCTAAATCGAACACGGTTGCATTCTGCTTGCTTCCAAGCAGTTTGTAGATTTGCATCCTTAACCTTTGTAGCTATGAATTTAAGTGTGCAACACTGCAGCCTGGGAAGAAAGGGTTATTAATAACAGCAAAAGAAGAGTGGAAGCTGTTACCTACATTTGTTTGGATGTATTTCTTAAGTTTGCAATCTATTTCCATGGGCTGTTTTTATTAAATTGACAACGCCTGACTTTTTTAGCCTAAAAGCATAATCCTAAACTTTAATTTTGGTTCTTCTGGATTGTCTGTGTGTGTGTGTTTGACAGTACAGCAGTTCAAGGAAGCTCAGCTATTTGCTCTCATGCATGAAATCTGATTTTAATGGGCCCATTTGTGGTGTTAGACTGAAATTGGCTTGATACACTATGAGCAAAGTTTGTTAAGACAAAATCTGGCCACAAAGTTCTCCTATGGGGCTCTGCCGGATCAGCATCACGTACGGCAGGATTTCAGTTAATCAAATTAGCAAAGGGAAACCAAAGACAGGTTGCTATCAGACAAATCATGTTGTGTAATCCTTGATGAGTGTGCTGAAATGTATCTGCTGCTAGCACACACCAATCCTGCTTTAAATATTTGGCTTAATAGAGCTCTACCCATAGTGTGTGAGGCAAGTGAGGGTGCGTCTTTGCTCAGTGGATATTAATGCTGCCAAATTATTAGAAGTTTGAACTGAGATAGGCCTCATAGATGTCTGCTTTTGCCAAGCCTCACACACACAGCCATTTCACACCAAACTGTAGTTCCAGTCTGATCCTACAAGCACGGTCAGTGGTGAGGGATGATGGAAGTTGCAGTCTAAGAATAACTGGGAGATCACATGCTGCTCATTAAATATTTATTTATTTATTTATTTATAGGCGGACTGTGCCATATGGGCTTGGAAGTCTTTCTCGAACCAGACGGTCCCTTAAAGACTTACCACTTGGGAAGCTTCAGCCATCTCCCAGCAGATGCCACTGTGCTAGCCTGAAGGACAAGAAGTGTATGAGCTTTTGCCAGGCAGGAACCGAGCACAGGTAGGATTTCTCTTTGCTTGCTGAATGGAGATCTGGATTCCAATGCACGTTCTTCGCTTCTAAGTATTTGAGCTGCCATCGCCTGAACATTTGTGTTGATATCAGTGAAGTGACTGAAGGCTACAGGTTTTGAAGCATCTAAATAAACAGGGTGGCGTTAGAGTGTTAGACTAGCATTAGGGTCCTAGTCTCTATTCAGACACAACATCCAGTGAATGATTTTGAGCAGGGACAGGCAACTGATGCCCTCTGCACCTTTTGAACTTCAAATTTCATCATTCCCAGGGTCAGCCTCCCAGGTAGGAAACACAACAAGATGAGCTAATTCAACTTTATTGTAAAGCGACATTAACTAGTTATAGAGGAAGAACAAGATTAATGTTTAATAAACGTGCTACAGTTTGTGCAAGAAATGTGAATGTTTCTCACAGCTGCACCTTTTTGTTGTTGTTGATATGAACAGATCTCAGTCCACTACAGAGAAGGGATGGAAGCATCTTCTTAAAGAGAGAGATTGCAAAGGGCTTGGACTGAAATGTACATTTCATCAACTGGCTGACATCAGGAAAATGAAAAGGTAAAATTGTCCTTTGCAACTTCTAGAAAAGGATTGATTCCAATAAATGTGTACCATCAGTGGAATACATAAAATCTCAAGCAAGTGAAAAGTTAGCCTTTTGTTTCAGTAGGAGCTAAGCGGACTCTACATTTTCCTAACTGGTGTATGTAGCTGATTTCAGTTCTTGTAAATGGTCATTTATGAGTTGTGTTCAGTTGGATTTCCTTTAGACTGACTTGGAAAAAGGCTTTTTCCCAATGTGCGGTGTTCAGTTAAGCCATCAGTATACTGCTGTCTGTATACACTCAGTTTACCAGACCTTGAGCCAACAGACTCTGCAGGAAACTGACAAATTTTCTGCATCAATTAAGATCATCTGCATAAAAATGTAAATGGCATAATTTCATATCATTATGCAAATCACCCGAGGAGGGTACTTCTAATTTAATGAATGTTTGTTAATAACCAAACCCTCTCCTCCAGCTGCTGCATTAAAGTGAGGTTTCGTTGTCTTTTCGTATAGATGATAATGTCATTCTTCCAGAGGCTTCTTTTAACTTCCCATGTGTGACATACTACCATTTGTGTGAAACTTTTTGTAATAAAAGTTACATCAGAATTTTGCCCTTGAATGCTTTTCAGTAGCATTGGTTTTCTGCAAAGAGGCTCAGCCTCTTTAGGAAAAAAATGGAATTATGGCAGGAATGAATGCCCCCAAGTTCAGCATGTGGGTGCAAAAATACAGTTATTAGCAGCGTTGCCTTATTTAATGCACTTGGATGCAATTTAGTTTATAGACAAAGTATGGTGCTAACAGAGTTGCCGTTGTTTTGTAAAAAAAAAAGAAAAAAAAAAATCTCCGCTCTAGCTTTAACAGAAGTCAAATACAAGGGAGTTTAGCAAGTAGATACTTTTATCCCTTCTTGGTAGATTATATTGATTATATGCCATCATATGTCAACTCTTAGCCCTTCCATAAATAGATTTTCTCTGGACCATCTGTCCCCAACCTGATCCTTCAGGTTTTCCAAAAGTGCATCCATTGCTGTGTAACTGAGTCCATATACCTTGCAAATATTATATTAGTATTTTATTTATCTCCTGCACTAAAGTGAGATAAATTTGAATGCTGTAAGAGTATGTGAACTTATAAGCCTTGCATAACATCTCAAGAAGTAATATGGAAAAAAATAATACAGCTACATGTAACTCTGGGTTATAGAGATTGAAGAATTTGTAGTACCAGAAAATGTTGATTAATTAAATACACATGTGACTAAGACAGCTAGAATGTGTGATGTCTATATCTATCTATACATACATCAACATACTTGATCATTTAACTTAATGAGTTCTCTTTTTTTCTTCTTCTGCAGATTGGATACTCTTCGAAATAGTATCAAAGCTTCTTTCAATATTGCCAAACTGGTAAACAAGCTGCGCAAACCACAGCAGCTGAAAAATAACCGAATATATAAAAAGCAAAACATTTGGCAAAGTCTGAAAATGACATCGTAGTGGAAAGATCACCAGTCCTAATCCTCAAGTCATCAAGAATTTCTGACACAGCTTTGCCGAAGCTCTGTTTTGGCTTCTTAACATTCCACTTCAGGAAAAGATCAAGGAGTGTTGATCTAAATATTAACTCTCTAAAAGTAAAGGAGAGCCCAGATAAATATTCCATTCAGACTGATGACAAAGCAGATAAATACTGGCATCTCTTCAGAATTCAGTTGGTTTGAGCGGGTCAAAGACTTTTTAACCAACTCCTTTACAGACTGTCAGATCAAGAATAGATGCGTTTGGGTCCCAGCTCCAAAAAAGAGAGTAGCATTTAAAGCATCAGCTCCTTTGATTTGTCAGGGTTCAGCCTCAATATAACCCAAGCTATGTTGTGGGCAAGATCAGCAATGGAAAGATCAAGATTTGAAAGAGAAGACGCCTTAGTTCTGACCACGATTAAAGGGCAACTGACTGTGCTATTTTGATCAAGGCACATCTCCCAAGTTACAGGTCTACCTCATATGCTATAAGTTGCACTCTTACCAAACTAACATTACAACTATTTTGTGAGTTTTGAGTGTTGGCTTCATCCTCTTATCTTTAAGCATAATTGCCTATAGTTCAGTTAATTTAGTTTTAGATTTTCAGGACTGCAGATCAAACTTGTCTATGCTCTAGTGGTGAGGGAATGAAGTAAATTGCCACCATCCCAAAGATACAATGATACTTGGGAAAGTAGATCTCACAGTTTTTCAGTGGATCATCTTTTAAAAGAGTGTTACCAGAATCGGAGTGATAAAGGATTGTTAATAAGTGAACTTTAGTATGTCTGAAAAAACTGAAATCTAGTGCTGTTGAGTAAAACATGATTTGAATGACCAAAGTTGTACTAAGAGGTTGTGCTGCCTAGCCTTGTTCCCTATAGATAAAATTTGAAGGCAACACTAGTTTAAATCTAAGATCAAAGGCTTATCCTGAGCAAACATTAATAGCAATGGATTTATCTATATGATGAATTTGCTGTATAATGTTTCTGGATCATATTTTGTATGATGTGCTCTTTACCATTATATATTATATTTATATTCAAGCAATTGTCAATTATATTTACTATGTTGAACGTATATTGAAACAGGCCATATTGGTCTATATGTCTTATAAATTTCTGTATGAAATTGGAAAATTTTTATGCCTGTTAAGGTAAATATACTAGAAATAAATATTTTGAACTACTCGGTTTCTTTTATAGTGCTTGTATTATTATTTTTTATACTCTCTTTTATGTTGCTTCTTCACTTTCATTGGGCATAATATGGTAAATTGAAGTTAGGACTCATTTTAGAAAATATTTTGCATATTGATTGATAAGACTTCTCTAAATGTATACTTTTATAGGACTCACTGGGACAAGGTCTCAACCTACCATTTTCCAGTGCTACAAGATTTCATACTCATATATGGTCCACATGTCATATCCTTCTCACAAATACCTAATTTGAACTGAGTTTTAGGAAACAAAATGTTTTATTCCATACTATTGCACCATCAAAACTGCATTTCTTAATGTTCCTTGTAAGTACTTCAGACACGGATGATTACCATATGACAGGTATTAATCAATGGTATAACAGGCTTAGAATTAGCTTTAATATGCACATTCATAAAACAAATACATATCTTTTGGGTTAAGGATTCCTGGCAATCTCCTGGTGTAAATTGGTGTTCATGCATAACTTCCAAAAACCATCCAAATGATATATTATTAAACTTCATTGAGTTGTTATTACTGTACTATTTTTTCTGTTCCTGAGATACTGTATTCTGTTCCTGTCCTTGTGCCTTCAGGATCATTTTGGTGTATCAGAGGTTACAAATCTCATCTTCCAGAAATGCAAAATGGTATCACAATAAGCTACAAAGCTTGGCTTAAAGAGCAATACATGTATATTAACTAAACTTATTGCCTTAGTGTGCTTTGTGAACTCACTCTATAAATCAACACAATTAGAAATCTATAATAAAAATAATATGTTGGGTTACACAAGTATGTTAATCATTGCCCCAAGGTTACCATAAGATTAAAAACTCTGTGATAGGGGCCATGTTACTCAGTGGAATGATTTCACATATATTGCAGTCTTCATCAGTTACTAGTTATTCAGTTAATTGGAAATCAGAAATATTAGTCAATCTCTCCTTACGTTTTAGGTTGACCCATGAACATGGATTGCATCCTAATCCCAGAAAAATAATAGTCCTTCATAGTGTTAAGCTAAATTGGAGCTGAGAAAAACAACACATGGCTGTATTGGCATGCCCTACTCACCCATACTTAATGAAACCATAAATTATTTAAACCCAATTAAATGAATTAATTAACTTCAGTTTACTTAAATAGTATATAGAGGTAGAAATCAATTGCATGGGCTAGGTTTACACAACAGATGAGGTTATTTCTAGCCTACATGTGGTTGGCTACTTAGTGATTTAGTGTGTCATGCAACTTTAGTCTAATACAGAATTTAATTGTTAAGAGAAATAACTTTCTTATAAAACAGCTTTTCCCAATCTGGTTTCTTCAGCATGTTTGCTGAGAATTCTAAGACTTACAGTCCCAACCCACTTAGATGGCACCATTGGGATGATTGATGGAAAGCAGAGTTTATTTTATTACTGCACCAGCAAACAGGGTTTAAAAATACATTATAAATTAATACTTTTTTATTTTAAATCAGTAATTTTCCCGTTTCCAACTGTTTGAGGATCAGAAAGTCAGCATGTCGGGACTTTCCCATCAATATGCCTATAGGCTGGGCAAATCTTCACTTTAGCCTAGAGCAGTGTTTCTCAAATTCCCTGCAATTGTAGACTGTGAAATAAATGTTGGGGGGCAGGGGAACCTCTTACCTAAATTTATCATTCGCATTATTTTAGATAATTATGTTATAAACAACAAGTCTTAGCGCAAACTTGCTGGTCAAGAATGTCCTTAAGTAGAAAATACTGAATGCTAAGGAGCTAGTGGCAAGTGAATCTCCAACCCAATATAATCTTTAGATATTTATCATTGTATATCCTATTCACACTTTTCTTTTTGAATTGTTTGTGTAAGATCACTTGCCTCAGTACATGTACACTCATAGTTGAGTGTACATGTACACTTGCACTTGAGTCCTACTCACTACGGTCAGTTTACTGAACTTTAGTAGGCAGCATGGCTACTACTTGTATGATCACTTGTACGCTTTGATGAGCTACTCCATTCCATTCTTGTTAACCAGCTGACTGGTGGTGAATGCAGACAGGTGGGGACCAAGGTGACAAGCAGCATCTGGTCTGACCAGCTGATTGGAGGCTGTGATAGACTACATGCTGGACCTCTGTGAAAGTAACGTTTGAGATTCAGATGGAGTTTGAGAGGTATTTAACATTTCATTTAATGAGCACTATTGTTGGAATTATATGAATTACTTTGACAAGATTCTAGTTTAGTTTTTCCAGACATCCTTGGAATCTAAACTATGCAGCCTTACCACAAGCTCATGCAAATGTGTCTCATAACTATTCTAATTGATCTTTGGTTCAGCCCAGCAAAACCCCTGGGTAGTTTTGGTTTTTCAGTAATGAGCAAGTGGGCAAGATACATGCTATTAAGAAACGTTTATGTATTTACAGGTATTGTATGATGGAAAATTGTTCTCTTGAACCAACACTTTTGTCTTTGTTTTCTCCTGAATGATTTTTAGTAGCCACTGTGTGTGTCTGTGTGTGTGTCCATATTGAGCATTTCCACTAAGGGAATTATTATTATTATTATTATTATTATTATTATTATTATTATTAAACTTTTTTCATTAATATTAACACAGCAATGGTGGGATTATAAAACGTTACAGTACTCCTTGAATGCTTGTTGACTCCTGGTTAAAAATCATCAGTATATTTTCTGTTTGCAAATGAAGGATGTCTTTAATTTAGAACATTCCTCTTCCAAAAATGCAACATTAGAATAAGCCCAATAAAACGGAAAAATAGTCTAAATAGCCATTTTTCTTAACTGACAGTGTTAAGTAGTCTCTGCAACAAATTAGGATTAGTGTTAATTATATTTGGTTTGAAAAACCTTCTGTAAATCATTCATATTTCATGAAATCCACTGTAATATTATGACTGTTTTTTGTTTTTTGAATATTCCCTTGCTATTGTACAATAACATTGTTTTTTTTGGGACATCCTGGAACTGCAGCCATTAATTAATGGGTAGATTTATCAATCAAAGCTTAAGTTGATTCACAGATGAACATACGCAGACCTTATACTACATCTAGTGGGATATATACACCATCCTCAGAGGTTGAGGAGTGCATTGCTTGGGCAAAGTAACTCAGAGAGCCTGGACAGCCAAGGAAGTAAAACATAGCATCAGCTACCTAGAACCACTGACAACCTAAACAGTCTCTTGAAATTACAACCCCTTGTAAACTATGAAGAAGGAAACAGATTGTGTTTACTCATGAAGAAGGCAGTAAGGCTCCTATTCTGAACAAAAGCACATGCAGTCTGCCTCTTGGCTGAATGAGTCTGGGGAATCCACAATTTAACTTTGGACTGACTCAGCCTCAAGGACTTAGACACAGGCAAATGGAGCTTGGACACAAGTGTATTCAAACAGTTCACAATGCTCTTCAGGAGGCCCCTGATGGACCTGCTAGTAAGCAGCCAGTGCAAAGTAAAGTCTTTGTGTTATGATTCCCACTGGAGAGAGTGGAAGTGAAAATATCCTCATTGCAGAATGCTTGGGGTGGGGGATGAGGGAGTCTGTATGTCTTCCTTCCCTTCCTTTTGATTCCCGTAACAGTTCCAAAACAGATTCTGATAGCTTCCAACTATCCCAGCTAATTAATAATATTAGTATTAGTAATATTTATTAGAAAGAGGGTTAAGAATTCCAGTGTGTTTTCTACTTTCAAATGAAAATCCTATATATAAGCAAATTAAGGCAGCAAGATTCTAGTTACTTTTCTTGTCCTTTTCAGCAGAAAATGGAGACAGCTTGTTGTGGGTGGTTGTTGTTGTTGTTGGTAGTGTGTATGTGTGTGTGAAAGCAGAACAGTCAGCACCTGTTGGTTGTTTCAGAAATAGCTCCTAGAGTTCTTGTCAATGTGAGAATCAGTTGTCATAATAATCTCATGCAGAGACCTCATGAACTGCATCTTCAAGTTGATTTGGTGTAAGGGCTGAAGCTGGCAAGGTAGAAGCCAATGATTCTTATGCTAGACAGAACCATTATGCAAACATGGAACAGGTGTTGCCAACTTTTAAGGCCAGGACAAGAATGTCGAAAAATTAATTGACTCAGGAAAAGGCACAAGGTTCAAACCTCAGAGCTGACATTTGTCTGTTTTGATTTTTTTTCTCTCTGTGTGTATTTTTTCAGTATGCATATTTTCTGCATATATATGATTCTTGTCTGTATTAAATCTAGGTGTGTGAAGTCTATGAAGATTTTGCTATTAGCTAGTTATCGAATATATGACTGATGTTCTGGAGAGCCGAGATTTATTGCCATGCCTTACGTGAAGTCTGATATTTGGAGAGTGTTCTGCAGGTCAAGCAAGAAAAAGCTGAGTCACTTATAGTAGTCTCAAGACCCCAAGTCCTAGCTTTCATACAGACAGGATTGGACATCAGACTGTATCTCAGCACCCTTCACAGTCAGTTATCAGTGCTGTTCTTGGTTTTGGTCCATCTTCATGTCAAAAGATTTCCAAGGTGATCTTCTGTACTTAAACCACCATCCATCCATTACTTCCTTTTGTGAGACCCACACCTGCTTTCCAAGACACTGATACACCCCTCTTTTGCACCTTTATGCACCACATGTCTGAAATAACCTCTTAGTATTTTGCAAGATGGTAACATGGTCATCCATCTCATCAAGCTCTACAAATTAAATAATTATGCCTTTGTGGAAGCATCATTTGACAGGACAACATGATGTACTTCTTTTTGGGCATCAAACATCATCCAAGATATAGCCAATCCAGTGAGTCTGTGTAGATATGTAGTGTATCCTACTACTGAATGCCCTGCTCTGCTGTAAAAGAACAGGTGATATTTCTTGTGAAGATCCTTTTCTAC